ACTGTGATCCTCGTTTCATTAATGACTAATCTGAAAGAATATAATACATAACGATTGCAGTATTGAAACATGGGCATACCTTTGTGTGGGACCTCATTAACATTATTGGTGGTGTTGTTTTACTTTGAACAGTCACTAGTTGAAAAGAACTTGATCAAATACCATAAATGCAAGCACATTGTGATTGTGCTATTTGTGACCCCAACAATGTACTATTCCTATGTGATCTAAGCAAATATTTACCAGATCTAGCATCTGTTGGCCCCAAACTTAAACAGATCATTCTGTTGAAATTGATACCACTCAACTTAAACCTAAGTCCGTCATTTTCCTCCAAAGCTAGATGAATCAAGAATAAAGATACTGACTTCCATGGTTGTAGACTATACAAATTATTATTCCATGCAAATCTCCTGAATATAGTATAAAATACTTATCAATGTTAACCAAACTTCAGATTGACATTTACACAAGAATTTAGAATTGAGCGAAGGGCAAAACCAACAGAACCAACTACCAGAAACTCTCCTAAACATAAGAACACATAAGATGGTTTTCAAACTGTTCAACAGAGGTCAAGCTTTAATCTCTCTCAACTGTACATATATGAGACCTAGACGGTAACTAATTACCTTCCTAAATTTCAATAATTTATCCTCCGAAAATATCTTAATAACATTCATTCAACTTCACATCAAAACCTCATCCAGTAGAGAGAGAGAGAGAGAGAGAGAGAGAGAGAGAGAGGGAGAGAGAGAGAGAGACAGAGAGAGAGAGAGAGAGGGAGCAACCAAATGAAGGCCAAATATCAGATAAAGCAGCAATAGTAAATAGTCTATAATAACTAATTAATTTTTCCACCTTCTTAAAGCATCTCTCCTTTCTCTTCTGACGGAACTTCAACAAGGCAGCCTCCCGCTGTGCAAATCTGATCTCATCCGCTTTATTTCCGATACCACTGCCGCTAGCTTCCCCACTTCCGGTTTTTCCAGCTTGCCCAGCATCACTTTCTCGATTATTTCCCACAGCATTAACTCCACTGCTCCCATTTTGTCCATTACTGCCGTGATTACTTCCCGAGGCACTTCTGTTCAGACTGCAGTTCACCGTATTATTCGCATCCAGAGCCAACTGCTTCACGGATGGCTCCTCATGATTGGACGAGGGTTGATTTTCCATGTTCTGAAATTGACGGTTAGGATTGTGAAAATTTTGGTGATGGGTATGTGGAATTTGGAGTTCTTGGTATGTGTTGGGTTGCATGCCGTTTGGCAAGAGACCACCAGCCTGCTGTTGACTGTTGTATCTGAGGTCATTCTTCACAGGTCTGAAAGCGGAAAGGTGTGTGCCATTGATTGTAGATGTTGCTTCGGATTTATCTTTGGGGAGCTTGTTGGTGGTGGACCCCATGTCGATGTTGTTATTGCTAACTCCTTTCGAATTTTGATATACAATATGGTCAGTCGAGAGTATTTGCATGTCACCCGCCGACTCTCGTTTCGTGGCTTCATTACTGTTGTCGAGCACGGAGCTGCTGCCTGTTATTGCATTGGGAGACTTGAAAATATTTACGGACGAGTTATACCTGCATTTCGAGAAATTAACTAGTTAAAAAACAATTGGAATCGTGGATAGATCTATAACAACACGAGAAAGAAGGAAATTCAGATATATACACATCATCATCATCATCATCATCATCATCATCATCATCATCATCGTCATCGTGGATAGATTTATAACAACACGAGAAAGAAAAAGGAAATTCAGATATATGCATCGTCATCGTCGTCATCATCATCATCATCATCATCATCATTATTATTATTATTATTATTATTTGCCCGACAACCACGACCTTGTAGCTCAAGTGGTGCACCTCACCGTTGAGGGGCGTTGTATTGGTTGATACAGGGTTTGATGCATATACCTCTCAGTCTCATAGGTGTTTATTTAGGCTCCCCTACCCGCCAATTTCCCGGTAACTATTAAAGAAAAAGTTATTTTTGTCCCACATTGATAAGTTATTGGGATATTATTGTGCATATGAGTGGGTTGGGCACTTAGTCCCTTTGAGCTAATTTTTGGGGATGAGTTCTACCCAAGCCCATTTACCATCCCCTGTGACGAGCCGACTTAGGCTCGCAAGCTTCGAGATCCTATGTGGGAAGCTTCGAGATCCCCAATATATACTTGGATTAATTTTAGTTTATCTTCAATCCAAAAGTAACTAGGTTTGGAATATCCATAAATATATTTAAGAACATTAATATGTTTAATACTATATCCATAAATATATTTAAGAACATTAATATGTTTTAATACTATTTCCTATTGTAGACGTGATTATAAATATATTTAAAAATAAATAAATCGTTTATTTATTAACAAATTTTTATATATAATATATTAAATTAATCATGTCTTGATAAGCTTCGATTTGACATTTATATTATACATACAAAATAAATAAATAATTTTATCTGTCTTTATAATTAAAATTAAATTACCTATTAATATAAATTTAAAAAAATAAAATTATTTAAACTAACTTAAGTAGAGAGTAGTTATCTGATAAAAATTATAATATAAGATGGCAAATCGTGTAAGTGACGATGTCATTTAAAATATAAATAAATAAATAATAATATATTTTTTCAAAAAGTACCCGTGTAGTACACGGGTACTGTACTAGTTATTAATGACTTATTATTAATTATTATATGCAGACCTTGAGAAGGCTGATTGCTCAGACCGGCGCAAGACACATCGCTCGTCTTGGACTGACCCATCAATGTCCTGAACTCCTCTAAGCCTCTTTAAACTAAGCTCAACGTGTGGTTCTTTACAATCGTCAGTTGCATTATTGTTGATGTCCAATTTGTTAGCCACTTCTCTAGTAGAATCAGATTCTCTGCCAGTTGGGTTGGCTTGTCCCTCCCCAGGATTTTCTGATTTAGGCACAGTATTTCTATGGACAGTTGTGTCCAATTCATTGCCATTGTCTACACATTAATTTTGTTTCAGATCATGTAAAGGGGAAAAATAAACTATTTAAAAAAGAAAAAATAAAATAAAAAAGAAAAAGAAGAAAGAAAAAAGAAAGACCAGATATAGGTTTTCCTTTCAATACCAGGAAGCTGTTGCATGTGGCCTTCCCTAGCTGCACTTAGTTGCACTCTGTTGTAGTCAGAGTGCTCGGCATTTGAGCGAATAACTTGGGCGCACGTGCTGTCTGGACACTCAGCTACATGATCCACCGGTGATAAAGCTTGAGAGCTGTCAACTTCTACAGCTTGCTTTGTCCAGGAGCTCTGTGGAAAAGCAATAGAGTTATTGTATTATGCAGAAACATGAAAATTTACTCTAGCTAAAAGTATATGTCGTAAAGACTTAAAAAAATCTACCCAGCTAGAAAGCATATGTAGATAAAGACTATTAAACGAGGTTCTTATGTTTGGCAGTTAAAAGCCTGCCGTGTGAACCTGGTATTAAGGCAAGATGCATAATAAATTGTTACAAAACTCTGTAAAAAAACTAAGACAAACCACTTAAAATACTGTTCGAACCAGAACAAAAAGCAACTTTTCACATCCTCAATACAAATTCATTATTAAAATTCATACTGTTCTTTTTCTTTTTGTTCTTTTTCTACTTGCACAGTGAATATTCTTCTATAATATAAAGATCAATGTTTCCTCTTCTTTTCGTTTTCAGATAAGAAGCCCATGTCTAACAATATCACACACAAAACCCTCAAGAGTAACAATCCACCAAGCATCATCTATTTTAAAAAATGCCATGATATAAAATTCTATGTGCTGCATGCTGATAGTTCATCTGGTGAACCGAATATTAAAACTACACCACCTGTGCCCCACTACCATCATCACTTCCATCTCCAGCATTTATTAGCCCATTGCTTGCATCATTTTCCCCATCATCACTTGCACTGTTGCCTGATTGATCAGTACCTTTTGATTTCACAGATTTTTGAGTTTGTGTACCACTTTCACTCCCACTTCCACTTGACTGAAAAACAAATCAAATTAAGAGGATGTACGTGCATAACAAAAACTACAATAAACTTGTTTAAATAGAACAGCAAAAAAGTGCAGACAATCTGGGGGTAAACAGAAGTTACAAAATATGTTTGGTCAGTCAAGTAGACACCTTTGCTGTGTTGCCTAGATTGAGCGTCAAAGTCTTAACATTTACCTCACCTTTTCGTTTTAGCTCTGCTTTAATCACGTAAAGGAATTTATTAATGGATCATGTCATTATCCACGGAGCAGAGAGAGAGAGAGAGACAGAAAACAGATGGTGAAGCATAGTTTGGCCACCTCCATACTTCCAATAGTAATAAACGTACAAACATGAAAAACCAATCTTATTATGCATAATAGTTTGGCCAATCAGGACCAATTAAATAACAAGGTGACTGCGATTAAAGAAATTTGAGGTCGATTCGCGTGAAACCAGGGGAGTATCTCATGTGTTAAGGTTTTGAGTGAGGTCGGCCATTTTTACCACATAAAAGTTTCATTTTTCTTAAGAGATCAGACAATTTTATGATGACTTACACTGTGGCACCTCCTCCATACATGCTGCCACAGGTTTTTAAGCTCATTCTTCCTTATAGGTTTGACCAAAAAGTCGACTGCACCTTTAGAGAGACATTTAAATACTAAACCCATTGAATCATGAGATGACATCACTGCACATAAATTCACGGAGTCAGTGTCAATAGCACCTAAATGTGGCAATAAATAAATGTAACAAGGGCTTAATTACTCACTAATTACAGGAATAGTCTTGCGAGTTTTGTGGCTCATAATCTTACATAGAAGGCCTATCCCAGATAAAAGAGGCATTACCACCTCTGTCAAGACAATGTCAATATGGTTGTTTAAATCTTCTAATATCTTCCATGCTTGCAGTCCATTAGCTGCATTTACCACTGCATTGACCAGTCAACAAGAATAAAATGCATATTGATTTGATAAAATAGATTAAACACAAGTTTGAAAATAATATGAACACAGAACCCCCAAACTATTGGGTTTACTTCTTAGCTTAGGTATTCTCCAGTTGTTGTCCTTTGAGGTGTAACGTGGAAGCTAGAAGTCGTGAAAGATTATGGACCCAGAATTGGTGCCTATGTACATCTATTCCTAGAATTAATGAAATATTAGGTACAAAAATTTACCTGAATCTTCTTATGCAACATTAGAACAAAAATAAAATATATTATTATTGAATGTAAAAGAATAAAATTCTCTAAAGGTCTTGGAAGTTTCTACTTTTACATTAGCAGTCGATTTGTCTACTTTTTAGTCCACAGGGAAAAATAATAGAAAGGAGAAGTTTATCATTTTAGCTGAAGTGATTGAGAAATAATCCACACAGAGGAAAACAACCTCCAAATACACACCATGACATGCCTAACCAAAATGACATGGTAACTGCTGTTAAAAATATCACTTAGTAAGTCTTGGGCAGCTTATACTTTGACCAAAGTCTACTACATCTTCTACTATAATCATCACTTTTATTTTCATAACAAGAATTATCACAAAACAGATCGTTGATACATTCGATCCAAATCATAGGGATTACTTGAAGCTAATCCAAGATTAAGAAAAAATCTAATGAGCTCTTCCGGCCAATGTCGTGATGATGTAATGGATTTTAAAATCCTTAACCCCTCATATGAATTATTCACCAAATTAGTGGGCTTAATGGATTTCAAATCTACGATAACCATCCCCTCAAATCCAAATCCTACCATGCAACTGCAACACTGTAGTTACTCATCTAACTTACACTAGGAATGGACCGTCTAGAAAACTATGTCATTGCAGTCGAGTCACTAGTTTAGAGCAGTCCTATACACCTGGAGTTCATTGACTGATGATAGCAGCCATAAATACTTCACTACATGATTTTCTTACAAGAAGTTTTAATTTCTTCCTAGCCACATATCCTTCTAACTCTAACATTGCAAGCTCTAACAACACTTTCCTGTTCGACATTACCTTCATAATTGCAGTTTCTGAGCAATGCAGTGACAACATGGCGAGTAGAGTCATCATTCTCAACCAGCAAGACCCGAATGGACCTCACATGAAGAAACCTCTCCCAACAAACCACCGAGCCCTGTGTTGGCTGTTGCTGCTGCACCTGCACCACACCAGATCCCTGGGATCTGCTGGTGGCAGCTCCATGGTTAGCATCTACCTTCAATTCACCAACTTGAGCTGAACTAACTCTCTCGCCCAAAGCTCTATTATCCTCAGTGTCCTTCTCATCGAGTGACTCTTTTTCCCCGTTAACATCAATATTCATGGATACACACTCCCTGCCAACCAAATTCAAATAAAAAAAGTTGGCGGGGAAAGATGCACAAATCTATCCTCCTTCTCCTCATAAAACCTCTGATATTCCTTTGTCAGAGATTATAAACAGGGCATAGCTAATAGTAGTGATTCTTTCGTCAGGGGCCCAAACTTTACACTACAGACCATCCTAATTCACAAGGAAAACTTGTCAAATAACTTAAATAGAAACAGTGTAAGAAAAAATTTGATGAACACGATTCTTTACTTTCACTCAGAAAGAAAATCAATTCAAACCGTAACAAGCTTGCTCAGTAAAGACTCCGCTCATTCCTAAATGAAGCTAGTATAATAACCTGTACAAAACCCTAAGTTCAACCACTTACATAACAATTGTTCTTTAAGGAATCATTAAAAGGAGCTAACCCTAGCATATCCACTAAATCACGCACACAAGTCATTCACCATGAAGAAATATACCCACACATATCCAAAAATAGAAAAATAAAGAAATCCCCTGACAATAAACAACATCCACAACACACAAAATAAAGACCCCTCTCTAAAATGAAAAAAGAAAAGCTCATTTCAACTGAAATCAAACAGATAAATCCAATACAGCAAACATTTTCCTCAAAAACTCACCAATTTCGGCTGAATTAACAGCCAAACTGTTCAAATCCGGCCTGCAAACGTCACAGTACAAACAAAAAAAATAACAGAGCAAGAAAAAGAACTGAGCAAATCAAAACAAATCACTCCAAAATAAAAAATGAAGCAAGATGAACTAAACTGAGATTAGGTTTCTGGATTAAGAATTAGATAAGGCTTATCGTGTTTATACTTTTTAATACTTGTTCTTCTTTCTCTTCAAGGCTTTTGAAAAAAAAAATAGCAGTCATTTTCATAATTTCATGTTTTTTCTTTTGTTCAAGTTGTGTTTTGTTTTTCCTTTTTCATTTCCTTGTGGCTCGGGACAATGACGTGGCTGTTCGGCAGGTTCGGACGACGACACGTAGGGTTTTGGGAGCGCCAGTTTGGTTCAGACTGCTGACGTGGGTGAATGACGTGTGCAAAATCTAAATGCGGAAGCTCTGGTTCTTTGGGCCAAATCTAAACAGATTCGGAGCCTCAAAGGAGGGGACACGTGGTCGGTTTGGTCGAAAATATCTGAATTGACGGTTCGAAACGGCGCCGTCAGGGATTGCTGTTGGTTGCTTCGTGGTGGGTGAAGAGAAATGTCGCCCTGTCATGACGACGTTAAATCAAATTTTGTGCAATTTTACGGAATTAACCACGCGGCTTTCAACTTTCAAGGATAATAATAGTTTTGTTTAGGACTCAGATGATAATGGATTATATTATTTGATTTGATTAGCAAATCAATTACCATTTTATTAAATACGCATTTGCATTTAGTAAACAGCAAAAACTTATAGATGTTATTTGTATTTTTTCTTTTAATTCTCTCTTCTTTTTATCTTTTTCATATTTAGTGGTTTGGATAAAATGAAAGTAATCAAATAAACTTATTGTCAAATAAAATAATTAGCTGATTTAATTGGTTAAACCTATAAATGAGGTCTAGTCCAAAATATTAGCATCTAATCCACTAATGAACAAGGGACTTTTTTTTTTCATTTCTTGAAATTCCATATGATAGATTGGTCTAGTCCACAGCCTCTAAACACACCATCAGCCAAATCCTCCTTAGAAATTGAATGTGTAATTAGCAAATTCAGACATCAAGATACTTAAGATGTAAGAATCTCATTTAAAAAAATTAAATATATATATATATATATATATATATNCCTTTTTTTTTCTCTTTATATGTATTGATTGATCTACTTTGATAATGAATCAATAATTCAGGAAGCTCAGTGGAATGTGAGGTATAACCATTGAAACCCAAAATGGGTCAGCAAAATTTCAATCAATATTGCACGGTTATGCACGAAAATTGCAATGCTGTTGGTAACTTCTATCACTTAAATAAATAAACATGAAATTATTTGCTTTGACATAACTCATGAGCACAAGTTACTGTAAAATAAATTTTTTCTGAATGCTCAAACTTAAATCACTTAAACTTACAACGTATGAGCACAAGTAGTACTGCCAAATAGTATTCTGTGAATATGCAAACTTCAACACTTAAAACTTTAACACAAATTTTAAGAATATTCAAACTTCAACCCTTAAGGGTTAGATGATCGACTCAATCATACTTTTGGAACAAAAAATACATACTTAGGTCATACTTTATTTATATATATTTTTTTTTTTAAAATGTCATTTATAAAATTACCATGTTCACTAGAATTTTGCTTGAAACAGCCATGGAGATTAGGAATCTATATATATATAATTGCTGGTAAGCTTCAATAAATTTTATTCAGCCAGCAATTAATAAAAATAGAACTTCATTTAATAAAAATCTTTATGACAATAAATTTTATTCAGTCATCAATTAATAAAAATAAGACTTCATTTAATACAAATTTTTATGACCAACATTCAAATGACAGTTAAATAAATAAAACCTTATTATCATTAATTTTTTATTCTGTAATAGTTTTACAAAATTTTAAATTTTCTGAATATACAATATTAAATTATTTTACAGCTAATAATTTGTGCCTGTGCACATGATCGAATACTAGTAACAATCAATTCTGCACATTTATAATTCGAGTGTTGATGTTAAAGCTATAAATGAGAGACTTTTTATCAATAATAAAAATCATTATGCAGTAAGAGAAATTAACGAGTAATAAGTACATCATGGGCCATTGTAAGTGCTGTTAATTTTTTTTTTTATTCATCTTATTGACGAAATGAAATAAAATGAAGAACAAACCCAACATTTTGTGCAAATTAATTTGGGCCATTCTTTTACCAACAAAATTCTAGCACCGTCCAACATCCGTTTTAGTTTATCGACCACCGGTGGATTCTTCTTGCCGATGAGGTCTTACCACAAAATTTCAGCTTAGTAAGATTCGTTTGCTCACAAAAATTTTCATCCAGAGTAATTTGATCTTAAATTTGTTGTCCTTTAATTATTTCCAGGACGTTTTCAGTAACAAGTTATTTGAATGTGTAATATATGTTGATCAGTTCCGACTTCCGATTGATTATTCTATTCAACTTTAGTAAACGTTGATTTTCTTTATTAGTTCACAATTTCCTTCCAAGGCAAATCTTTGAATGCACATTTGTTGTTTCTGAACTTTCATCTTGATACCAAAAAACAATGTATAGAAATTTGGACTTCAAATATCTTTTAGATGTACGGTAAGACGGTTGTCAGACACACTTTTTTAACAAGCGTGCATATTTTCATTTAAAAATAAAATACTTCATAAATCAATATAAATAAAAGTACAACACTCATTATAGTGATACAACATATATTAAGATACAAGCAATGAAGGCTCTTAACCAAAGTACTCATTATAGTGATACAACATATATTAAGATACAACCAATGAAGGCTCTTAACCAAAGTCCAATTAAGGGTCTTTCAAATTTTACTAGAAACACTTCATAAACAGAGTGTGTAATTTATGGAATATAAACGAAAAATTAGTATGTTGTAATATACAGAAAGATATCTGGATCTGTTTTAAAACAGAACCCTCACCAGGCATTAAGTTATTTTGGTTNGAGCCTAACAACCACTATTCAATGGAGGTGGAAGGCCCAATCAACAATTAAGCTTCTTGTGCCAAAATCACGAAGCCAGCATTTCGGATAAGACACCTCAACTCAGTACACAGAGAAGGCAAAACGATTAAACTTAAACAAACTGAAACTCCATTTGCCTCAAGGGTTCCCACTATCCTAGTTGAAGTAAAAAACTAACCATTACACGATCCAGTTACAAAATATTCATGTTCAACAACTCCAGTCGTCCCAGAATACGTGAACAGTTACTAAAAATCAAGATAAAAAACATCGACAGCACAAAAAATCGTTCATCATGCCCGGTGAGAAAAAATTGAGCTGAAAAGACAATAATAAACACGCACAAAAGCGTGAAATAAGGAGGTTTTTTCGTGCTCATACCCCATGATTGCAGACCAGAAAGGACGCCGGAAACGAGGTTAGGGTTTCAGATGTCGGGTCGGAGGAGGCTCAGCTGCCAGCCGGCGATTTCAAGCGTGAAACCCTAATGCAGCTCAAGGCGGTTGAGTATGTGTTTGTGTGTGTCAGTGGCAATTTATTATACGTTTCAAATATTGGGCTTGCTGTGTCTGAGCTATTGGGCTTGACACATTCATTTGCTATTGCTATGCCCTAGCTATTGGGCATGTTGCGATTTTGATTCGAATATGCATTTAAATATTAATTAATTTACTATTCTTATTTAGGTAGTGTATTCATTTGGATTTTAAAAATTTTTTAATACTTGAGAAATTCTGGTGTATTTAAATTAAATTTTTTAATACTTTTAGAAGTCTGGAATTCATTTGTAATTTTAAAAAATCTTACAAGATCTTAAGGTATTTAACTTATTTGATATTAGGATTTGTTAAGACTTTTTAAGATTTGCTAGGATTTCTAAAGAATAAAAACATATAGAAAATTTCACTCTGAATCTCACATTCAACCTTAAGTTTTCACAGGATTCCTCCAAAATCTAAAAATTTTAAAATGTTTCAAATCTCAAAAGTCTCAAAATGTCACTCGAAATTTCAAACGAGTACACCTTAATTCAAAAAATTACCTCATCCACCATCATTATTAATTTTATTTGCATATATACTAACCGCAATTTTTATTTGTAATTATACCAAATTAAATCATATCCTAAAAATTACATCTCCTACATCACTCCCTCTCTCCTCTTTTTTTTTTCTCCTTCTCTAATTTCTCCCTACTTCATCTCTTTCCTATTTCTTTTATCCTTTATTTGGCAAAACAAAACTCAATTACACCTCCCTCCAAATTATGTCTCACTTTCCCATGCAACATCAATCGGCGGCGGCGGGATCGACGGACTATGCTCGTCCATGGTGGTGCGATGCACGACACTCGGACCTTGGAGTGGTGGTTGATTGGAGACGACACATCAAATATGTGGCTCATCTAACGGCAGCAAGCCTGAGGCCTTCACCTACAACGTAAAGGGCGGCCGAAGGAATTCCAATATGTAGCCATTAGCAATGGCGCGACGTGGCAGAGGGTTGACGGTGGATGACGAGGCGGTGACTAGGCGACGAGTCGTGAATGGAAGTCAATTGGCGTGTGACCTTTGGCGATTGCAAATCCGACACCAAACTCGATGACGAACAATGAAGCGGACATTAGTGATCTGGGCCGCTGGCTCAATTCAACGGTTGTCGCGCGATTGTTGATGATTGGTTCAACCAGACTGGCTATAGGTTAATGGCGATGGCCCTGTCTCCACAAAGCGACGAACGTGGGTGGATATGAAGCACCAGGTCGATTGGTGGCCGATGAAGGCTTGAGGTGATTGATGGCGTTTGATTTGTGACTCGTACAGCGAGTGGGATGTCTTAGTCTTTGAGAGAATTTTTTCACATGTTTTGATTTCTTTATGTGTTGGAATATTTCAAGTGTTTATTTGACATTTATTAATAATTTATGTTTGATATATGAACATATTTCAGCCATGTAACATGATCTAATAATATAAATTTGCTATAAACAATAAATAAACTAAACGTAAGCATAAAGACAAAATAGTTCGTAAATTATCAATAAAAGTATATCCCTTATGTAAAATCGCAAAATTTTTTTAAAAGGCTATTAATGCAAAATGTTTAAAAAATTGTGATATATATGTAATAATTAATGTGGTTGATTTGGCCTTACAGGATCCTTAACCCATCCCGTCAAGTTCTCAACACTCGAAATCAAACGAGATCTTTTGTTAGGAATAAATCATATGGCAACAATTGCACGTTATTGCCGTACGGTGTATAATTATGTATATTATCAAAGCCAAAACAAGAGTCACTAGATGCAACATGGCTAATGTAATGTGCACTTTACTTAGCATTAAGCATCAAACGTGAGTCGTGTCAACGAGCAGACAATCGGGTCCCTTTTCGCAACCATGCATGCAAGGAATCTCTAGTAACTTTAAGCCTTTGTAGAATTATAGGTCTCCTAATAGGAGACCCTGGTTTTGACCAGCTTCTTTCATGTACTTTTCCCAATTCTGAATGAGAATGAGTCGAGGAGGAACCCACTGCAAACACGTGAAGCCCAAGATCATGCTCCAACAGTCGGGTCACGGCTTCTCCAACTCCGTTTTCATCTCTGGTGGGATGAGCGGCAACTTCATGTATGCCCAGTATGATAATCACGTCGTCTTTTAAAGAGTTCCCTGCAAGCAAAAGTGAATCAAAATTTTGTTTTGAACATAGACTAAGGTTCTTTAAGAAACGTTTACGATTTTTAACAACCTGGGGAGGGCTTTGTCGACAGAAAAAGCCAGAAAATATTGTAATTTATCCTCTACTAGTACAGATCCCGTGCGATGCACGGGGTGCACAATTTTAAGGCTATTTATCCAGGCTTATAATTATATACATGAATAAAGAAAAATGTACGGGATATATATCATACGTGACCCGTGCGAAGCACGAGATATATTTATTTGGAGAATATTATATTATAAGATGCAATATTCATTAAAAGTTTATAATACGTAAGAAATTGTACAATGTTCAATAAAAGTTTTATAATATTCAAGTGGAGTCTTAAAGTCTCTTGTACATTAAGACTACTGACAAATAATATTTTAATCAATGAGTTTCCTTTCCTTGTAGCCAAATTGTGAATGTCATTTGAGGAGTACAACAAATCGATATATAGCTGACTTGTTTTTTTCATTGTAGTTTTTTTTTTCTTTTTTTTTTTATAAAGAATTTAAAGATATTCTAAAATATAGCAAAAATTAATTTTTTATTACAATTAGGAATTTACTAAATATAAACTTTCAATCTATGGTGTTAATCAACGTTTAAGTCTAAAAAATTAGGAATTTTTACCTCTTTTAATCAACGGTTAAGTCTAAAAAACAATAGAGTTATTATAATTTTTTTTCTACATCTTTTAAAACATTAAATATGGGCATGTTAGGGCTAGCTTGTAAAATAATTAATATATTATCTCACTAAAACATTTATACTAATAAAAATTTGATTTTAGCATATAAATTTATCCATTGATATAAGAGAAAGTAACAGTTTTACTTATTGTTGTTCACCATATATTACTTAATTATTATTTTATTATATAATAAAAAAGGAATATTGTTAAATAGTGTAGTAGAATTAGTATAAAATTATATGATTTTTTTTTTACAATATGAATTTAATATTTTTTTATGATTTGATAATATAAACAAATCTATACTTAACTTTGACAAATAAAACAAATAAATACTTTAGTAAGTATTTAATGTATATACTAAATAGGAATATATTTGGTATAATCAAATACCAAATATAATCAAATAAGTCAAAGTGTACATTTATATTTGGTATTTGATTTTTTTATTATTAAAATCTTTTTATTATACTTACCTTTTTAAAATAAAATAAATTAATAAATCAATTAAATAAATAAAATATTATAATATCAAAATAGTATTGCATTTAATGCAATTGCCTTTTCTGGATAGTAAATATAGTAAATAGAATATCCTTTTATATAGTATAATACGGAAATAGTAATGCAATAAATGCTGTTGACTTTTCTGGCTACTTAATTTGGTAAATAGTACCCCCTTTAATATAAGTATAGATTTATTGGGTGTCTGAGTGTGCATAGGGCTGCAAACGAATAGAGCGGCTCGCGAGCGCTCGAGTCAAAGCTCGGCTCGAGCATGTTATCGAGTCAATCTCGAGCATAGGTATTGGAAGGTATAAATATGCAGTGAATTATCAAAATACCCCTTATATATAAAATATTACAATTTTATAGATGTACTTAATGGTAATTTTACTTGAATATCGAGTCGAACTCAGAGCCGAGCTCGAGCATTTTGATTTCAATCAATCTCGAGCCGAGCTCGAGCGACTTGTCTTCTTTTCTCTAGTCGATCTGGAGCGTCATAAATCGAGCTCGAGAGCAAGTTAAAAAAAAAATTCAATCTTGCTCAATAAGGCCAATGCTCAACTCGTCTGCAGCCCTAAGTGTGCATTTGTGCATGTGTTTAGGGGCAATACAATGAGGCTGGGATGGGCTGGGCTGCCTGTTTGTAGCCTTTGTGTCGGCCTCTGATGACAATGGATCAATAGCAGAGGAAAGATGCCATCTCAATCTAGTCACAATTTCTTATGTGCAATTATACAAACTATGGCAAGACATCATGGAAATTGCGGTCCAGGAGAGGGTTTGACAAAAAAAAAAAAAACACACACACATAAACACGATTAACTCAGTGAATATGATTTTGTCACCTTCAATATATCTCTCTTTGATCATACGCAGAACCGCAAGCACTACTATTCGTGCTTCTACCTGTATTGGCATCAGAGAGAGAAAAAAAAATGAACGTAATCCATCTTCTTGTAACGTGGGAAGTGATTAAAGGACATCAACAAATTTCGGCAATCCATTTAAAATTCTCATTGAGTCTATATCACTTCAGATCAACTTCATGGACTCTACACAGAAGTTTAACAGGATTTGCAACATTTGGGGTTGTATTAGGTACATACCTTGGTTAGACCCTGAAGATCAATGGAAAGGCTTTCAGCCGTACCTTGCAGGTGTTCTGCAACTTTCTCAAGCAACAAGTTCTGACGTCCATAATCTGTTAAACGAGAACCAAACTGTTTTTTGTTTACATGTTCATTGTGTATCACACCTTCACACCACTCCTCAATTAGCTGCTTGAGATAGTAATCATTGGGCTTGTACCTACAGAAGGTGTTCCAGTGGAGATTAGAGTATACACACATGTCTGTGAGTTGTGAGACTGTGAGTATGCAACTCATCTCATTATCTTCATACTATGAATTATGAAATATGTGAATAGGTAACAGATAATACTTATAAGCATACCCAACTCTTCTCATTTGCTGATATATAGCAAGGCATTGTTGTACTTCCTGCAGCGAACCATATTTACTACGAGCTCTAAGAAGAGTATTGTAGGTCACCTGAAATTTCAAGTTTTGACTTTTATTGAAGTGCAATTGCTAGTAAGTTTGACTTGTACCTACAGCACCCCAGAATTAAAAAGAAAAAAGAAAACTACAAAACCGGAAGTAAGAGGGAAAATAACAGGGTAAAAAGAAAAGAAAAGAAAAGAAAAAGAGAACTGAGTCATAATGATAACCTCACCAAATTTGGTTTTATTTGATATTTCTGCATTTCATCAAATAACATGAATGCAAGCTTTGGCTTCTTATGTTCTACACAGATCTGAAGTCGAAAAGAAAAAATAATGAACAAGTATGTCAGGTAAATCAAGATGACCAGCATAATCGCATATAAACTTGTCTGGGTTGTTTCTGTGATAAAATAGTTGCACCTTAATGGTTGTGGTATATGCTATAACATCAGGTTGAATACCTGACTCATGCATGGATCTCAAGGTCTGCAAAGCAAGAAAATAGATAGAATATTAGATTGATTCTGTGTTTCACTTCCATTGTTTAGCAATGGAATTCGCTCGACCGATATAACTCTCTCATGGCGCTATTGGATTTTTTTGCTTTCCAGCAATAACTTCTACAGTAAATCACCCTTGGAATTTAACAATTCAGTAAAAACTTAATTAATAATTAAATAAGCTATCATGGATCAGTGATAACCAACTTACAACATGTTCTCAGCATGAGGTCTTAGAAAGACAACCATGCAGGTTAATTCAGTTATCACATTCTCATGAAAGAGAAAGCAACATTTCATTTACCTGTACAGCACCCGTTACATCTCTTGAGCCTCCACAAATATCAATCAATATTGACCAGCTTATCTGATCAGGAGAAAGACCCAAAGTCTTCATTTCGTCCATCAAAGCTTTGGCACGGTGATAATCAGTGCCACACGCTTTCATCAAGATATTATATGTTGAAATAGTGGGTCCAAGTGGAGTTTTCACGGTTTTGCGTGAGTTATCATTAAACTCATCATTAGGGGTAATTCGTTGAAAACCCTTTTCTTTCCAGGAGTTAAATAGCCGAAAGGCGTGGTCAAATTGGCAAGACATAACACAGGCATGAAGAACGGTATTGAAGCAATGTGAATTGGGTTGACAGCCGGTTTGAAGCATTTCATCAAACAATTTAATTGCTTGTTCCGTGAGACCTGCATTTGCGCATGCGCTGATCAGTGATGACCAAGTAAATTTGTTGGGAATGACACCAGAAGACGCCATATCCTCTTTGATTTCTAGGGCCATTTTCCACTTCTTGGCATCTGCAAAGACCTGAATGGTGATTGGAGGGGTCGGTGTCTTTTAACGTTCTCACTCATTATGCTTTGAACCAAAGTACAAAAGTAGGACTTAAGACACAGTGAAGGACTTCTATACAGCAGAATAGTTGAGTCCTGTGCATGAAATGCACCTAAAGTTAATTATATAGTCCTACTTTTTTCTTGCAACAGTATTTAATCAGTTGGTAGGGTGCATAGAATGCACAATGAAAGAGCTATTATATAGTTTTTTAGTACTGTATACAGCAAGAAGAAAACATCACAAAAGTTTCACGGAAAAGATCATAGTACATAATTCTTTTTTAGATATTGTTTATAGTTACATAACTAACAAGAGTACCACATTACATGTTTTATGCGGACAAATATACTTCAAGTACATTTACTAATCCATTACCTTCTTAGGTTAAGCAGCTGAAATACGAACTTAAAATTTACCTTAATTATTGTGCTGTATGTAAAGACATCCAATTTCAGTGCTCCTTCTGCTTCCAACTTCCGTATCTGCCTATAGACATCATGAGCGAGTTCAACTTTTCGAGCTAGACAACATGACTTCAAAACAATGTTGTGAGATGTAATATCAGCCACCACGCCGAGTTTCTGTAAATGGCATTTTCACTTGAGTGAATATGCTGATATAATCTTTTGTCTAACTTGACATTAAAGTTACAGAAACTATGGAAGCACGAATATTGACTCCTGCATGTACAGAAGTTAGGAAGAGAAACAAAATTTGCATGCTTTAGATGCAATAGAATGTGCGGGGAGGACAAGGGATGAAAGACCTTACTTCCATTTTGTTGTAGATATCCAATGTGTAATTCAGATCATGGGAGTTTACGTTCATAAGACTGTTGAAAACATATATGTTTGGGGTGATATTTCCAGCGAGTAACTCCTGTAGTAATATCTATGTCAGATGATAGTTATCATTCATTTAACATTCCAAAAAGCATATAGGGATAACTCATGCAATTCTAATCCAGTAAGGCAGACTTTGATAAATTTTAGAAGTCATCTGAAGAAAATAAAAATGAACTGATATAGTCAAGGAGCTCTTTATTCGAAATCTTTCCATTTTATCAATACCACTATGAAAGAACTAGAACATGGGTCAGTGTTAGAGGCCTTATAAGAGTAAACAAACAGGATTCTTGCAGAAGAAGTGTGGATATTTGGGAATGCATGAATAGAGCAATAACTTGAAAATTTCATGCAATCACCAAATGCAAACATATTCGCATCTAAATATCCTTGAGTGCAGACACAAAAAAGAAAAAGTATAAAAAAATGTGAAACTGTATGTGTCGACTGAACTTTCTCGATAATGAGCAAGTCCAATTCCACGAAATGGCGGTGAGATGAAAATGAACTCAGAGGTAATACATTCTGAAAGTAGATAGACATGATATCTATTGCTCTCATACACCAAATAAAACATCAATTACACCTAATGAGATATACAACAACTCAATAATGTCTTACAATCTATAAGAGGTACCTCGTAAATAGTCCTTGACTTCAAGTAATTGCCACAAAGACCACAAACATCTATGATTGTGCGGTAGGCATGCATATTCGGAGTACTTGTATGTTTCTTGGAAAGTTCAAAGGCAGTTAGAGCTGATGCCATGTCCCTTCTCTTTCCATATTGAAGAATTATTGAACAAAATAGAACTTCAGCATGAGGAAAATTTTGGGCAAACCTGCAAAATCCCGCCTAAAGCTTAATTGGCTGCTCCAAAGATGAGAATATGCTAAAATAATACTCTCCCCATATCCATGCTGGCCAAGATTACAAGCTTCTGAAAATTTTAGAAGCTGTAATATTCTGATGAAATATTAAGCATGATAAATACTCACAAGATAGTTCCCATAATGCTACAATCAGCATAAATTTTCACCGTCCACATACTACAAGTTCCCATTATCACTTTGGATGACCTTTTTCATCTTCTTAACCTCAGGAAAACTCATAGAGAAGAAGCATTTATTTTTTATTCCAAAAGGCAGGAAAAGTGAAAA